ACAACTGCTGTCTGGTGTGTGCATCTCATTACAACATTTTGTTTCCAGGGATAACCCTATGGTAGACATCTCATCATACTCTTTTCATAATTCTAGGAAGTGTACTGCACCCTAGCCAAATGAAGACAAGCCCATTCATCTATGTGTGTCACAGGATGACTTCAGTTCTGGGCGTAACTTCTGGGCTTCACATCTGATCACACACTTATTAACTATGCACTTCTTATTACGTTGATGCCTAATTAGGACAAGGTTTGGATATTTCCTTAATCTAATTGTCCTTTATACTCTCTTGTTCTTGGCATATCATTACACCTTCTCTACACCGAGTCCAACTTATTACACCTTGTTCAAATTATGCATAACCTCTCACATCTCTTTAGGTTTATACATTTCATTACACATTTTGATTTTTCAAATAGGATTCTGTTGATGATGCTGTATCTTACCTTGTACTATACTTTGTTACTTTAAAAATTCTTTCATTTACATTTTCTTGAGCCTCACAAAAAGGTAAGTTTTATCATTCTCATTCTATATATGAGGTCATGACTTTCCCAGTTATGCTGCTAGCAAGTTGATGGTAGGGTCACAGAAATATAAGGGATCTAACAATTCATCTTGTTCAGTGGTATCAAACTCAGATAGAAATAGGGGCCTCTAAAACTACACATAAAGATCCCTGTGGGCTGTACATGAGTTCCATTTGGACAACGCAGCTCCTTCCTTCCTTCTTTTTCTTTCTTTCTTCCTCTCCTCTCCTTTTATTTCCTTCATCCATCCTTCTGTCCACAGAGAGTATCATACCCTTACCTGTGGGTGTTCTGCTCAGAGGAATGTAAATTTTGATCACTGAAAACTAGCAAAATATCTTGGGGTTTACAGGCTACATTTCTTTCTAAACTACCTTGCCTTAAACCCAAATCACATCAATAGGCTAACAATGGCTCGTAGTGAATGTGAATAGTAATTGTTTCTGTTTGTCTAGAAACCCTGAGGGTCTTCCCCTCAGATTGATTTTTGTTTTTTGACTAGGTAAAAGAGGCCATTCTTTGCCTCATTTCTTACCTAGCCTTAAAAGCTGAATGAGTGTTGCCTCAGTTAAGCTGAGACCTAGGAAAGACCTTAGCTTAAAAATGCCAAGGTCTCCCACTGCATCCAGGGCCATCTACAATCATCCTGATCTTTATCTTGCCACTGGACCCAGATGGCTCTGGAGGAGAAACTGAGGCTGGTGACTTTGCACAACCCTCCCTCACTTAAATCCAATTCACTTGCAAGTCATAGCATCACCTTCCTGATGTCACAGTCCTCCTGGAGAACGAAAGACAAACAACATGTTAACATAATCTACATTTTGTTCTTGTTTTTCAGTCATTTTTCAGTTGTGTCTGACTCTTTGTGACCCCATTTGGTGTTTTCTTAGCAGAGACATTGGACTGGTTTGCCATTTCCTTCTCCAGCTCATTTTACAGATGAGGAAACTGAGGCCAACAGGGTTAAGTGACTTGCCCAGGGTCTCAGACAATTAGTAAGTGTCTGAGGCCAGATTTGAATTCATGAAGATGAGCCTTTTTGACTGCAGGGCTGGCACTCTGTGCACTATGGCGCCACCTAGCTGCCCATCTATGTTTTACTATATCTTCATTTCTTTTATTACACATTTCCTACATAATTTCATTTTCATTTGGCTCAGTTGCACTCAGGAGTGTTGTGGGTCACATGCTGCCCACTGGCCCATGTTCTTATGTATGATCTAGTCCAACTTTCTCATTCAGAAATGAGAGTCAGAGAAGTTGAGATTTGCTCAAGGCCACGTAGGTATGAAGTATCAAAGTTAGAACTTGAACCCAGAGCCAATGCTGTTTGCACTGGACCAGGCTGACTGCAAGCCATGCTTTTTCTCTTTTAAAAAGTTTTATTGATGATCTCCTATTTTTTGGACGTGACTGTCACTTCCCAATGGTTTCTCCAATTTTCCTCACAATAGAATTCTCTCTTACAGCAAATAAGTACAGTAAAGCAAAAGGTCAGCTGGGTGGTGCAGTGGATAGAGCACTAGGCCTGGAGTCAGGAAGATTCCTCTCCCTGAGTTCAAATCTGGCCTCAGATACTTCCTAGCTGAGGGACCCTGGGCAAGTCACTTATCCCCAAGTGGGGTCACGAAGAGTCAGAAAAAAAGACTGAACAGCAGTTAAGCAAAAGAAGCCAACACATTGATCATGTCTAAAGATACATGCCTTAAGCTATACTTGTAGTCCATTACTTCTCTGCCAAGAAGTAGGAGGCCAGCTTGATTATCAGTCCTCGTAAGTTACCATTGGTGAGGTACAGATTGATCAGAGTTTCTATTGACCTTTCTACACCTTGATGCCCTGGTCAGAATCTGGCATCATTTTGTCTCTGAACCTAGTTAGGAGGACCATCATTTTCTGCCTCCTAAAAATCACAGTTTCTGTCCTAATCAGAGTCTGATCCAAATCTGGGGGCTGACTGTTGGTATTGAACCCTATGCTTTCTTTTAGTGAGACTCCCTGGTCTTGACTCTTGAAACTGACAGTTGCTGCTTAGACTCCAGAAGCCTGTATCTGGAGCTCCAACACAGTTCTGAGTGGACCAGGTGAAGACCATGTTTAGGGGTACTTTTCAAAGGTATGAGACAGAGATATACTGGTAAATGTTTAACTACTGGCTGTCTGCGGTGGTGGTGGGGAAGACATATGAATGACACACCTTAAAGTTTAAATTGCATTTTTAACATTTTCTCCATCACTTTAAGTCTACACACTGAACAAAATGATAACTCAAGCCCTGATTTGTAGCATCAGCTGACTTCCAAGCAGTTCACACCCTTGGTCAAAGACCACTAGTTCTCAGGATCTCTGATTCAAGAAGTGTAATATGTAAATGTAAATTGTTACAGGGACCTGATGTCCAAAATACAGAACTCGGAGAGGAATAGAGCTGTGAAAAATTACTGGAAGTAGCATGACGGAATTTGGTGGTATATAGCTTCATAACAAGGGTTTATCAAGATCTCTTAATTTAGCTTTTCCCTTAAACTTTTTTCAAGGTCACAATGACTCTAGACAGGAACATTCCAAGAGAAAGGATTAGGCAGCTGTGAACAAACTCATTCCACAAGGCAGTAAGTGGCTCTGGGAGAGCAACTAGCCACAGAGCCTTTTCTCAGAGTTGGGGGCTTTGGGAGCACTGAGCTATTCCCTGATAGCTTGGGTTTGTTTCAGCTCAGCAGGCAACAACCTGTCTTTCAAGAGCTGGAAGCAGTCATTCTCATAAGGTATGGGTACCACGAGACGTGCCTAATTACGAGGTATGTAATCAGATGTGGAAAAGACCTAGTTATATCTAAAATTGGATGTATATAATGAGGCACACACCTGAAATCAGTTGTTCTAGCAAGGTTAGAATGCAGTCACTTAAAAAAATCCCACAGTTAAGCAGGATAAAAATTTTGATGAGATGAAAATGAAAATGCCTGAAAGCGGTTGTTTTAATTGGATTGGGAGTGAAAGATGCTGGTAAATCACAGACTAAAAGAATCTCCAAGATGGAATGGTTCTTAGCTTTACCAAGCCCAAGATTTCTTAAACTTTTTTTTTTTTTTTAGGTTTTAGACTCCTCTACCAGTCTAGTGGAGCAAATAGACCTCTTTTTCATAAGCTAACATATGTAAAGTGCTTTTCAAACCTTATGGTGCTATATAAAGACTGGCTATTATCATTATTATTCTCAGAGCAGTTTTTTTTGAACCCATAAAATAAAATACACAGGACTAGAAAAGAAACAAATTATATTGAAATAGTTACCAAAATATTTGTAGAACAAAAGTCCAGGGACCTCGGGTTCAGAACTCTTACCTAGACCAGCTTGGAGGAGAGAGAATCCTCTTTACAAGGAGAATTTGGATAAGGTTACTTCAATCAATCAACAAACATTGATTTATTAAGAACCTATCTGCATAAACCTGAAGGGATAGAAGGTTTAAGAAGTGGTAATGAAATTATTCTCCTTAATGTAGCCCAACAGGTATTAGATCCTCAAACGCTGTTTAGTCATTTTTCAGTGGTGTCTGACTCTTCCTGATCCTATCTGGGGTTTTCTTGGCAAAGATACTGGAGTGGTTTGCCATTTTTTTCTCCAGCTCATTTTACAGAAGAGGAAACTGAGGTGAATGGAGTTAAAGTGACTTGCCCAGGGTCACACAGCTAGGAAGTGTTTGAGGTCAGATTTGAACTGAGGAAGAGCAGTCTTCCTGACTTCAGGCCCAGCACTCTACTATGCCACCTAGCTACCCTCAAATGACTTTAGTTCAAATCACTGTGAGCTGGCTGACAACACCTCCCTCAGCCTTCTCTCCTCTCTGATTGGAGCGCTGGAGGGAGGAGTACCCAACTCCTCCCAATGCTTTCCTTTATAGAGAGCAGAAACTAGACTTTCGGCTCACTCCATTTTGCATCTGCTGCTCTGCCTGTTTTAAACATCATGGAACACGACACCCCCTGGTCCCCATCCCCCAATCCCTTTCTTGTCTCCTTTTGTGGGTTGTCTTCTTTGAAGCTCCTTGAGGGTAATGACTGTCTTTCTTTTTCTTATCTGTATCTGTCGTGGTTGGCACAGTGCCTCGCACATGGTAGGCACTTAATAAACGTTTATTAAATTGAACTGAACCCACATTGTCTTACAGAATGCAGGCTGCCTTTTTCCAAAGCAGATAATTAGGAGGATCATAGGATCATAATTTTGGGGCTAGAAGGGAACTCAGAGGCCATGGAGTCTTAATAAAATTAAGACAAGGGGGCAGCTAGGTGGTGCAGTGGATAGAGCACCAGCTCTGAAGTCAGGAGGACCTGAGTTCAAGTCTGGCCTCAGACCAAACACTTGACACTTACTAGCTGTGTGACTTTGGGCAAGTCACTTAACCCCAATTGCCTAAAACAAAAAACAAAATTAAGACAAAAACAATGCAACACACAAACTTTAAAGATTCTCAAAACGTCCTTTAATTTTCCATTCCCCCCAAGCCCAACGTAGTACAAGCAGTTTGCAAAATTCAAGACCATCAGTGACAGGGGCATCACGTTGCATGGTGGTTCTCCCTCTCCTTGCACCTACAAAGAAGACGGGCACAGACAGTGCACAGTGTGTTGTCCTGCTAAGGTTTCAGTGATGTTGGCACTTGGAGGGCCAACAACACTTGAGAGTGTGGGGGGTGGGGTCAGGGGTAGGATGTGCTAGAGGAAAGGTGGGCAACAACACAAGTCAATCTGAGAATAGGCTTGACTGGGAAGCCAAGACAGGAATCAATGTCATAAGTCTTTGTGCCCATTTGTGTAACTATGAGGAGGCCACTGGGACTGACTCTGTGAATAAGGCAGTATTTTAGCTCCATTTAACTTGTTGGTAATTGAGCAATCCTCATAATATCTTTTAAGGAACATTTCCTCTTGGAAAGTGGGGAGAAAAAAATTCCTGCTTCCATGGTTGGTTCCACTCCTTACCATTAGTGTGATGGCTCTTGGTTCAGGTAAAGCAGAGACAAAGACAACACAGCTAACAAAATATTCCACAATAGCACTGCCTTGGGTATGGCAGAATAGGAACACGTGATCCGGCCTCTGATGGTGGCGGAGGTCATAAAATCCCACCCTGGAGACCACAGCCTGCCTGCCTTGACTACTCAATTAACTGCCTTGGTAGGCCTGGGCAAAAGAAAGGCAAAGAGCAGTGAATGTAGAGCTAGATATTTCATTGTACTAAAAATTAAGAGCATCAAGGGAGTGAGAACCTTACTGTCTATGAAATACAACCCTTATAACATCTTTCAGATCAATGAGATTACATGAAGAGACTTTCTTTTCCAAGGTCAGAGTGTTTATAAGCTGAGGAGGTATTCTTATAGGCATATTCTTCCTTCCCTACTCAGATCCCAACCATCTGGCACGACCCCCACTCCCACTCTGAATCTTTTTGGAAATTACCACATTAAACCCTTCCTTTAGGGTTCCCACCACTGGGGATATAAGTAGGGATTCCTCAAGGCAGAATTGATTAGATTACATACCAAAGAAAGATGCAGGATAAAAACAGATAGCAAAACAAAAGTGAGCATACATGGAGTGACCACTGGCCATTACAGTAGGACAAGCTTGTGGTGGTCACAGCTCCTACTGCATGACCGTAGACCAGAAGGCATGGATTACACAGTGGTTATTTTCTTGTCCTTAGTGGCTTGTTTGATGGCGGCCTGCTCACAGATGATCTCTTTGAGGCGCTGGAGCCTCATGTTCTGAGTGGTCTGGTCTCCGACGCCCGTCTGACTTCTGTGCAGCAAATTTAAGGCGTGAATGTACTCCAGCTCCGTGTACTTGACCCCTTGGTCAACCACCAGGTTTAGGAGTTCATCAGCTGTATTGTACAGCATCTCATAGTACTGCCTAGGAAAACAACAGAAAGAAAATTGCTTCAATGGGGCCTTATAATAAACAAATATATTTTTAATTACACTAAGTACGTTGATCCCCAAGGAACCAGTGAGCGAATCCAGTGGAGATTCATGGTGGTTCCATGCCTTCTATGGACATGCTTCCTATTTTTAATAACTGCTCTCATGGACTGATTCTCAGTGTGGCACCTATTTTGGAGATGGGGGGGAACCCCCAAACATTGAGGGGGTAGGGGTAGCTATCACCTTATTCAATTTAACTCAGCAAACATTTATTTAGCACCTACTTCATGCAGGGCAATGTGCTATATACTTACTGGGGGAGATGCAAAGTCTCTAGAAGAGAAAACAGGATCTATGCACAAACATATCCAATACAAAATGGTAAGTATGTAAGAGAAATATAAATAAAATGCTATATCAATAAAGAACATTACTAAGAGGAAGAGTAAATCAGGGAACACTTCATGGAGGAGGTGACATCTGAATCAAGCTTTAAACCTAAACTGCCCCTACAATGTTTAAGGCCACAAATTCATTCTTTCTTTCTTTCTTTCTTTCTTTCTTTCTTTCTTTCTTTCTTTCTTTCTTTCTTTCTTTCTTTCTTTCTTTCTTTCTTTCTTTCTCTCTTTCTTTCTCTCTCTCTTCTCTCCTCCCTCTCTTCCTCCCTTCCTTCCTTTCCTTCCTTCCTCTTTCCTTCCTTCCTTCCTTCCTTCCTTCCTTCCTTCCTTCCTTTCCTTCCTTCCTTCCTTCCTTCCTTCCTTCCTTCCTTCCTTCCTTCCTTCCTTCCTTTTAGGATCAATTTGATTCTGGTGTCAGGAAACTTGAGCTTATAGGTTAAGTATGTTGAGTGGGAACAAAGTAGTTGTCTTACTAGGCCAGATCCTTGATTCACCTAGTCTAGAAGTTCTTAACTTTTTTTTTTTGACTTGGATTCCTTTGACAGTCTGGTGAAGCCTGTAACCTCTTCTCAAAACCATGCTTTTAAATGCATAAATTAAAATACATCAGATTACAAAGGAAACCAATTATATTGAAATACAATTATTGAACTACTGAAAAAATATTCACAGACTCCCCGGTTAAGAACCACTGGACTGGATGATCTTTGAGTTCTGACAGTCTGTGAATAAACTATTATTAACCATGGGTAATCTGCTGTTTTAAAAGAAATACCTTGGGGTGGGGGTGGGGCAATGGTTATCCTTTCTTATGGTAACGTTACAGCTTAGATATAACCTAGCTTGCCTTAGGAATTTTCTAACTTCAGAAACTGGACAAATGCAAAAGTTTGCCAATTCCCCCACCCCAGTTCATTTCTATTTTTTGTTTGTCCTACCTGTTGGGGTAATGGGTTCTATATGTTTCCTTCCTGTTCCTATTATGGCTTTTATTTTGTTTCACTTGGAGGGGTTTTTGTTGTAGGTTCCAGGAAACGTGACCAGACCAACAAACACTATTGTGACTCTAAGTAACAGGCTGCATTATGATGGGATTCTGTTATATTTGTTAAGGGCGTACGTGCTTCAGAACTTAATGGGGGTGGGGGGGAAGTCTTTCCTCTTTTTCTTGATGGCTCAGGATCTGACCACTTGAATCACTTCCTTGATCTCTCGCTCTGAGGCTTTATCAAGGTGTGGAGGTGCTCCTGGGGTCGATGGCTTTGCCAGCAGAGCACACACTCTGGCAAGATCTAGCAAGCTGGGAAAACTTGGGATGATCATGAGTCCTTTGGCTGCTGACTTTGTCAGCTAGGTACAGAAAGTTTTATCACCAGTAGGGGATGAATTCCTTGGTTATGGTGACCCAGAGGGCAGCTAAAAATACAAAATGACCCTTAGGTTTGTGCAGTCCACTCCCACTTCTAACGTGATGACAGCAGAGTGGAGGAAGAGGAAGCAGAGAGTAGTAAATCCTCCATAATTTAACTGTTAGTACTTTAAAGATGCAATCCTTGTCTGAGCGAACAGCCTGCTGAAGAATCTGAGCCACGCCAGTATCAACACTCTCACTCCACGGAAGTTCACTGGAATGGAAGTGGGGCTCAAGACTGTCCTCGAGGAAGCAAACCAAAGGAGTTGGTTTTATTGTGAACCCAAAGGCCACAAGAAATAACTGCATTTGATATTGGCTCATATGTGAACGTGCAGTGTTCATGATGATCATGAAGAACAAGACCATCTGTTATTGGCCCAGGCACACTCCTGCTAATCTCGTAGCACCCTAAATGCTGTGTCTGTGGCCTTCTTGAGCATTCTCTTATTCCTTACAGAGACGACTGGGATTCAGAAATATCAATTCAGATACAGGGCAAGAGCCCTAACATGACCAGGAGCTTTACCTGTCACATCCCACCTTCTGGGATTGCTCTGGGAGGAAGGATCCACCCACCTTCTGGTAGCAGCACAAGGTGGTGAGGGGGGTAGGGGGCCTTCCTGGGGTACTCCCCATGCACCCAATAAGGAAGAACTGCTAAGGAGGAGCCCTCTGGCTGTTCTGGCTACAAGGAGACAGAAAAGTAACTATGGGGTTCCAGAGAAGCTCATTTTTGGTAAGTACTCCCCAGTTGTACAACCAATGAAACAGAAACACACCATTTATACTTTCTCTTATTTCCTTCCTCCTCCCTCATGGAATAACTGCTCTGTCAAATCCATAGATAAGTACAATACAAGGTGGGAACTGATAGCTGCAAAAGGAGAGAACCAGATAAAATATTCTAGGAAAATTTGAGAACAGAACATTTTTAGCTCAGGGCAGCAAGGAACACTTCCTAGAAGTGATACTGAAATGACCCTACGAGGAGGAGGAGGAGGACTTGGAATGGCAGAGAGGACCGTTTGGGCCAATGCATGGAGGGAGGGGATGGAGAAAACAGACAAGTATTTCTGGAGACTTAATTTCTTTTAAAAATAGAGTTCATTGAGTCACTTCCCAATCCACCTCCATGTCTTCCCTAACAACAACAACAACAACAAAAAGCAAGCAGAATTCTTCAGCTCAGAAACTGACAATGTATATGATATTCTGACCTAGAAGCTCCCCGCCTCTCTGCTGGGAGGCAGAGGTCTAGCTTATTACCGATTTAGAGATTGCTTTTTAATTTCTTTCAGGTACCTTACACCGCACTTGGAACATTTCAATTGCAGAAATATAAGAACAAGGACATAGTGACATATATTTCCCTGCTTTTACAGTTCAGAAACACAATATAAAGTTACTGAAAGGAAATATGTGTAATCTTTAGGGTGTCCAGTCTCTGATTCCTTGGCTTTGATGACCAGACAACAGATAGCAGCATTGGCACTTTATATTATTATTAGTAACTTGGTCGGATTTATCAACAAAGCAGCAAGCTGAGGGAGGAAGCAATTTCACCATTGTTTACAATCCTTCGTACTACTAGAAAATGTTGTAGTCTGATGGCAAGTAATTAAGAATGGGGATGAACCTGCCATGAAAATTCAACTCAACAGACATTATTAAGCAACCTACTGTGTGTATGTAGTGCAACAGGCAGCTGGGGGTGCAGTG